TGGGTCTATTCATATTTTGTGCATTCCGTCGGGATCAAAATTGTCACCCCCTATATCTGTGAGACTAATTTTGAATTTTTCCCTCTCTTTATATATAAACTAGATATAGAAACAATAATGATTAATGAAGATGTGTGTGAGTACATATATGAGCTATTTGTTTTTATGTATTTTATTTAACATTTTATATATGGTTTTGCCCATGCAGCCTATGGAGAATGCAAATATCCTTGAAGATGATTGAAGACTATCTATGGTTTTTCGAGAATAAAAGCACCAAAGTGTAACCTCCTCTTTGGAATATTGTAACGAGTAATATATTGAAATACATCCTCTTTTGTTTGTTTTATTTGTCGCAATAATATTTTTCTAGTGACAACAAGTACAATCTATTTGATTTATTTATTTTTTGCAGTTTAACATATCAATTTTTTTTTTTTTTTCGCAAATCANCTGTATTATGTTTCAACTTAGCTGATCTTTCGGCAGGGGTTGTTATAGTCTTTCATTTTTTTATTTTGTTTTTACCAGAAGGAAAACTTTGATTTATAAGTTTATAGTCATTCCTTTTTTTAAAAAAACTAGTGAGAATCCCGTGGGATGCACGAGGTTTTCGTACTTTAGAACTTTTTTTTAAAACTTTATTTTCACAATATATTAGCATGCTGACCCGTTTATATTATTATATATAAATAATATTTTAACATATATATTTATTTTTAATACAAAATAACAACAATTTTACATATTTTGGTTCATCATAATACTCAATTATTAATCTATCAAAAAATCTATTATCATATAATGTCATTATTATTTATAACACTTGTAGAAGTAATATATTTGTTATATAATGATAAATATGTAATGTATATTAATATTATTTATTGATGTAATTAATTTACAAAGATATAAGCAAATTTAATGTTTGGTAGGAATGTGATTATATGTAAGTTGAGATAAAATGAAATGTATCAAAAAAATCTGCTTATGATATTTTCCTTTTAATGTTTGAATGAATTTGAAATTGAAATTATAAATCAACTTCCAATTATTCAAATAATTTTAATAAAGTTACCAATTGTAGTAAAATGTACGGGATAATATATTATAAATATACATGACGTCAGTAATGTTATGAATCTTTAAGTTCCTAAAATATATATTGTTTAGATATGAAACTAATTAACTTATATGTTAAGATGATATATATAAATATATGTATTGTACGAAATATACACGTGACAAGTTATTATATTTGTTTATATATTGTTTTTATATTTGTTTGTATTGTTTATTATATTTGTATATTATATTTGTAAATAAATATATCGTTTATATATTTTTCTGTATTGTACGACAAATTATTATATTTGTTTACATATTGTTTAAATATATATTGTTTGATATAAAACTAATTAACCTATATGTGAAGATAATATATATAAATATATGTATTGTATGAAATCTTTAACGTGTTTGTTAAATTTTTTCCCCTAAAAAATTCAAAATACATTTAGGCATGTGTTTCTTTGAAGTTTGAAATTCAAATATGCATCTATATAATAAATCCCATGATTTGTTCTAGCATTAAATGCTAATTGATTTTTTATTAAAAAAATTAGAAAAACATACCAAAAATGGAATGCAATTAATATTACCTATTTTTTTGCTTACTATTTTTTAAAAATATTAATTTTTATTATATAGATATATAGATATAGATTGTAAAATGGTCATATGAAGTTAAAAAAAATAAAATAAATAAATAAAAAAAAAAAAGATATAGAA